AATGGGGACAGAGTTTCAGTTTTGCAAGATGAAAAGAGTTGTTGGGATAGATGGTGGTAATGGTTGCCCAGCAATGTGAAGGCACTTAATGCCACTGAATTGTATATTTTAAAATGGTAAATTTTATGCTGTGTGTATTTTACTACAATTGAAAAATAAATAATTTTAAAAAAGAACCACACAACAGAGCCTCTCAGTTTGTAATGCAGAGCCTTGGCATCCTAGAGGATGTTAGAAGACACCCAGGAAGACCAACTTCCAGAAAAGTGGCAGTGGGTCCTGGCAGGTGAGCTCAGGCTTCTGTGTCAAAGACCAGGGAGGGACCAATTGTTGTTCCATGGAAGAAATGCTCCATTTTCAGCATTACCAATCAGTCACTACCTAGGTCTCCAATGTTTCTTAGAGACTTTGGTGCCACTGTCATCAGCACATGATACATTCTCCAAGGAGAAAGAAAGGTCCCAACCAGGAGCAGATAGTGTCTGGGGACAGAAGTAATAGAAGTTTCTGTTTCATGGGCAGTAGGGACTTAGAAACTGGGAGAAGAATGCTCAGACCCCTGGGGAGCACACAGAGCTGAACTGCACTCATCTGACTTCCCCTGCTGGGCAGTGCAGACCCAACAGGCTGGAGGACTCCTGGCTTCAGACCTCAGGCAAAACTCTAAGAGTCCTCTAATCCCTGTGCATGCTGAGTTTGGCTGTAGACTAACCGTCTCCTGCATGTAAATGTGACTTTTTCAAATTTCTTCAGACTCTGTTGGAATTAATAAAATGCACATTTATTTAAGGTACAGAATTCATAGTAGCTTTCGACCAGGCTGAATCAAAGGATTCTATAATTTCCACCATTACATTTTTCTTTGTGACAAAAGGAAGTAATCAGAAAATGTGAGAACTGTAGGACTAGGTACGTGGGCTCTGAAGTTGGCCATTATCAGATTGTCCATCAGTCAATACAAGGAGAACATCATGAATGTTCTTAAGATTTTAGCCAGCAACCTTGTCTGATCGTGAGAACTGGAAAATACTGTTATTGTGCAGCTAAGCAAGGAAGTCAGCGACCTGACCCACTTTGAACTTGGATAGTGTACACTAGTATAATGGTACCATCCAATGACATTTTGCTGTAAAATTTGTGACCAGTCTCACCAGATCTGCCCAGCCCTGCTGCCTGCACATTCCCTATTCAGCCTCTCCTTGGATCCACATGTAGTTGAAAGTCAGGCTCACCCAGTGCAGGTGCTTCTGTGCTGCCAGTCTGCCAACATGAACATCTTTCTTGCTTCCACTCAGGATCTCAGAGGCAGACTTGAAATGATACATGTGCTTCCATGTGCCAGCCAATCTACTAGGCACATCACATACTTGTTTTCTAATCACAAAAACTATGAATTGTAGCTGAGTCAGAATTTAAACCTGGGCCTGTGAGGTTCAAAGCCCTGGGTAAGTCATGACCATAATTTCTTGTGTGTGTGGAGACAAAACAGTGGCACAACTTCTGTTTGAGCTGAAGTAGACCTATGTCTCTGGATAGAGATGCTCTTCCAGGACAAATCAAAGCCCACTTCCAAAACTTCCATTGATTCGGTTAATGCCTGCATACCACCTACCACAGGCCAGTCTCTGAGACCTGGCTGGGAACTCTGGATAAAGGACCAAAGGCATATGGTCAGAGATGGAGTGAATCTCAGAGCAGCAAGGTCACCAAGCAGCAGCACAGGGCGCCAAACCAGGAGGCAGCCCCTTCCTGATGTGTGTGGTGGAGAAAAGACTGCAAAGACCTATGTTGTTATTCTCGTTGATAACAGACTCAGTAGTGCCATTTTGAAAGAGGGGACAACAGTTCACAGAGGCCCAGAGCAAATTAATTTCTGTGACAAGGAAGAACGATTTGTCAAAATTTCGAGTTTAAGGAGCGAGTGTTTTGTACATTTCTTTTATAAGGAGACCATTCCCTGACAAATCAATAAAAGCTATGAATAAAAAAAGTGAGTTTGTTTTGTACAGCAAAGGAAACCGTCAACAAAACAAAAAGATAACTGACTGTTTGGGAGAAGATATCTGCTAATGATACATCTGATAAGGGGTTAATATCCAAAATTTATAAAGAACTTACACAACTCAACAACAAAAAAACAAACAATCCAATTAAAAAATGGGCAGAAGACCTGAACAGATACTTCTCCAAAGAAGAAATACAGATAGCTAACAGACATATGAAAAGATGCTCAAGATCGCTAATCATCAGAGAAATGCAAATTAAAACCGCAATGAGATATCACTTTACACATGTAAGAATGGCTATTATCAATAAATCAAAAAAAAAAAAAAAAAAAAAAAACAAAAAAAAAAAAAAAAAAAAAAAAAAAAAAAAAAAAAAAAAAAAAAAAAAAAAAAAAAAACATAAAAACAAAC